TAAGGCAGATAACAATATATATCCCAAATAATCTTCACATTTCTCAATTGAATAAGAAGCATAAACTAATCATCATTTACATTACATGTATTTTAATAATTATATGAGATACATATTTTTCATTAGTATATACTGAGAAGACTATCTTCACATTTTTCAATTGAATAAGAAGCAGAAAGAGATAATACAAAAATAGAAATGGGAAAATAAATAAATAAACAAATAAACAAAACAGAAGACAATACAGTCTAAAAAAATTCGATAGAAGGAAACATTAAACTATCTGTAATATTTAAAAAACACATAGTAATAATAAAAGCTTAGAAAAATGAATTAAGTATTAAAAAATTAGTTTAGGTATTAATTCTCTATTACTACCAATATATATCATAGATAATTGAGAAATGACTGAGTAATATCTTTGGCTACCAACTAAATTATTTGCATACATCTCAAATAATCTAGCAGAAACAGGAGAAGAAAGAAAATAAATAGATAAGGTAAGAAGAAATCAGAAAAAAAGAATTAAAGCAGAAAACAATATGAGACAAAAAGTAATATTCAAAATGTGATGAACAATTGCAGACAACAACAGTGATAAAAAATGAATAGAATAAAATAAATTGTATACAAAAACTGTAACTAACAAATCTTATAAAAACTAAACCCAGTGATAACAAATAGGAGCAATAACTTTAACATTAAAAACTTACCTCTTGATAGTAACAACATGATTAATAGTAACATCATTATCACAACATAATAAAGTTAAGAGATAAATTTACAAATGAACAGATTCATGTAACCGATCTTATCAATATAATAAATAAGTCCTCTAAAATAATAAAGAAACAACTGTAAAAATAAATAAATTATTACCTCAGTTAAAGAAGAACAATAGAGAAGCAGACCCAGCAGGACAACTAAGAGTCCAAAATAGAGAGAAGCAAACAGAAAAATCCACTATTGAAAGCTGATCAAGGCAAATAGATGAACCAAAGATCCAGAAGACAGTTACAATGAGAGTAAAACCTCAATACTACTAAAATTTCTAAACGAAGGTATAAGAGAATGTATTATAAAAGTTGGAGAAGGAAAACATATAAAAAAAATAGAAACCGTAATAATGAGATAAAACACAATAGTTATGTACAAAAAGAACAAATTTTTGATGGAGCACCGATAGCAATTGTTGGGAAAAAAATATCAACTGAGGTAATCATTAGTCAATAGGTGTCACGAAGCATGAAAACCACCGAGAAACCGAATGAATAATATACAGACAGTAAAAATTTGTGTTTACGAAATTACAGTAAAAAAATACGTGTCAAAACAATATTATACATATTATAACAATGTAAAAACTGTCTAGAAACTGAAAGAAATAACTATATCAAAAATTAATCTAGAAGATAAGAGAAGCAAATCATTGAAAGCATAAAAAAAGGAAAAAAAAAATCAACCAATAACATCATAGACAAAAACCATAATAAAAAAATAAAGAAAATAATTTTCTTTCCAAAAAAAGAAAACAACAGATAAGCAATGTAAAAATTGTCTACAAACTGAAAGAAGCAACTATATCAAAAACTAATCCAGAAGATAAGAGAATCAAATCATTGAAAGCGTAAAAAAAACAAAAGAAAAAAAATCAACCAATAACATTACAGACAAAAAGCATAGTAAAAAAGTAAAGAAAATAATTTTCTTTCCAAAAAAAAAAGAACAGACAAAAAAAGAAAAAGAGAAAATGTTCTCTGAACAAAAAGGATAAAAAAACCTAAAAAAAAGGGAAAGTAAAAAATTTTGTAAAGAAAAAGGACAAAAAAATGCAAAAAAATGAAAAAAAAAATTGATTACAAAAGTGTTTTGCAGAACAACGAATCAGAAGAGATCTGCAAATCACTAGAAGAAAGAACAAAAGTAAACCAAAAATAAAAACCGAAACAAAACCCATAAGATTAACTCATATAGTACATAACAAACCGAAACAAAGCCCCAAAAAATCTCAAAGGGAAATTTTTTTTAGAAAAAGAACCCTAAAAAACTAAAAATACCTAGACGGCAAAAAAGTGGAGAAACAACAAAAATTTTCAAAAAGAAGCTCAGGAACATAAAATGGAGAAAATGAAGAGGACGTGTGAAGCAGAAGAACGCATGAACAAAAGAAAAAAGGAATCATAGAACAAATCCGCAAATCACTGAAAGAAAGAACAAAAGTTAACAAAAAAAAAAGAGTCGAAGAGAAAATCCCTAAAACCGCAAATCACTGGAAGATTGATAAAATTTCCAGAGAAAGGAAAACCTAGAAACTCCACCGAAACATAACCCAAAAGATTAACTCATATATTACATAAGAAACCAAAACAAAGGCCCAAAAAATCTCAAAGGGAAATTTTTTTTAGAAAAAGAACCCTAAAAAACTAAAAATACCTAGACGACAAAAAAGTGGAGAAACAACAAAAAAAATTCAAGGAGACATAAAATGGAGAAAATGAAGAAGACGTGCGAAGTAGAAGAACGCATGAACAAAAGAAAAAATGAATCATAGAACAAATATGCAAATGACTAAAAAAAAAGAACAAAGTTAACCAAAAAGAAAAACAAAACAACCTACAAACTACACCGAAACATAACCCATGACATTAACTCGTATATTACATAACAAACCGAAACAAAGCCCCAAAAAATATAAAATAAATTTTTTTTTAGAAAAAGAACCCTAAAAAGCTAAAAATACCCAGACCGCAAAAAATGTAGAAGAAACAAAAATTTTCAAAGAAAAGCCCAGAAACATAAAATGGGGAGACGGCAACAAATGAAGAGACAACAAAAATTTTCAAAGAAAAGCCCATAAACATAAAATGGGGAAAAGCATGGAGAACGATATTAATCCCAAAAACCTCACGAAGAGCAAGAGAGAAAAAAAGGGAAAAAATAAATGGACTGAAGTGAAGAAGTCTAGAACGTTCACAATGAGAAAAGAAAGGCAAACCGAAGGATAAGACAAAAAACCCAAACAAAAACGAAAACAAAAATAAGAAACTAAGGATAAAACAGTAAAAATAACTAAAAGGACTAGGACTGGCAATCCGGGTAGTGACACGACAACACGACTTAAAACCCGCACGAAATTAACGGGTTTGGGTTTATCATAAATAGGTACGGGTCAAAATTAGGTCGAACCCGTAAAACACGATTAAATAACGTGTCATTTTCAAGTTGACCCGCCAACCCGTAATTGACCCGCCATAACCCGTTTATTAAACGTGTCATATGTGGGTAACACGAATACACAACCCGTTTATTACCCATTTTATAAACAGGTTAATAAATAGGTTAACACGACTCATTTATCACCTATTTTATAAACAAGTTCATAAATAGGTTAACACAACCCATTTATCACCCATTTTATAAACGGGTTGACAGGTAATCAATGGGTTGACACGACACGTTTATGACCTGTTTAATAAACGGGTTATTCGTGTCGTGTCGTGTCAACCTGCCAATAAACGGGTCGTGTTTGGGTTTTGTATTTCGACACGATTAATAAACGGGTCGTGTTCGTGTCAGATCTATTCGTGTCAACTGAAGGGGTTAACACGACACGAATACGACCCGTCAACCCGAATTGCCACCCCTAAAAAGGACGCAAACGGTATAAAAAAGGCTTGAACAAAAAGAAATAGGGGCAAAATTGGAAAGTAACTATTCTTAGAACAGTAACTCCGGTGCCTCCTTTAGTAGTATGTATAATGTGGTTATTTATTTATTAAATAATTTTTAATGGTGTATTTGATGTGATTAATTTTTATTGATTTATGGATTTAGAATTATTTTCAGTTTATACGTGTCTTTTATGAGAAAATATTATAATGAGTTATGAATCACGATCTGAATTATAACACGGATTCTTACTCTAAACGCACTATATTTCTAAAAAAAAAACCTTTAATTCTCATGCCACTCGACAATTTATTATGAGATGTTTATTTCAAGGATTTGTCACTAATTTTAAATTATATTTTTAATTTTTTATAGTATTTTTTTCTTATAAAAAATGTAAATTTTAAAAATTAAAATTATAAATTATGATTCTAAACTTATAAGCTAAACATTCCATTAAGTTATAGACCAAATTGGATGGAAGAGAGGGTGTTTTGAACTGTTTTGTATATATTGGGTCTCGTTCACTTCGCGAATTTGAGTTGAGATGTGACATTTTTTTAGAGTTTTTTACTGTAATAGAAAAAATTAGATGTGACATTTTTTAAAAAAATTTTACTGTAAAAACTTAAAACTGAAAACTCAAATCGGTAAAATGAACAAAGTTCTTTTTTACTGTAAAAACTTAAAACTGAAAACTCAAATCGGTAAAATGAACAAAGTTAAAGAGATTTTAAACTGTTTTGAAAAATTATGGGGTATTTTAAAATAATATAAATATTTCGGGGCATTTATGAAAATATGCCTAAAAAAAATTCCACTGGCTAATTGTCAACTAAATATTTAACTGATTTTGAGGAAAAAAGTAGGAAAAAAAAAAAAAGAATCGAAGAAAAAACTGAAAAGCCCAAACCCATATAGATCTGCTTTGCTTTGCTAGCTTCTCGCCTCCTTCAAACCTTTTCCCTCCTCCTTCCAGATTTTATTCTGTTTTTTCAGCTCTTCGGTCGTCACAGGTCAGCTTTCTTTCCCTCATTGTTTCTTCTCAATTCGATTTCGGATCTGATTTTTTTGCTTTCTTTTTTTTTTTCTATTCGTTTTTATTACTTTTTTGGATTTCATCTTTGAATTGAATCGTATAAATTTATTGTAAAACCTCGCAAGATTTGGATCAGTTCCTTGACTGTGAATATGGGATTCTTTGTTTTTGAGAGTTTATCAGTTCTAGATCTGTTTATCGGTTGCTCCTTTGTGTATTTGAGGGAATGATTTTGGTTCCGTACAAAACCCTAACTAAACGTACGAAATTTCGGGGGTTAATTGCAAGTTTTTATCATAAATGGAATAGTTGGTTGAATTTTTCCGCGATTTGTTGTTTTTATGTAGCTCCGAGTTTTCTTGAGTCCTGCATTTTCATTGCAACTTTTGCAACGGCAGCAAATTAGGGCTTTTCTTCTTATTAAGCTAATTTGTTAAAATGAGGATTGTATGTTTCCTTATTTTGGGTCTGCTTCGTTGAAACGTTAGTAATTATATGCAGAATGTATAGTTATGGAACTTGTTTGTGCGTATTGGACTTGATTGAACTTGAACTTAGAAAGAGTTTATTGGCAGGTTGTGAAGCCTCAAAATCGAATGGAGGGAGTAGGGGGTGATAGTGCTGCTGCGGCGGCGGCAGGTCCGGTGAACCAATGGGTGCACGATGTGTCGAGGCTTTTTCAGTATTATTTGGACAAGAGTACGCCTTACGCGATGTATAGATGGATTGGAACTGTTGTCTTGTTTGTGATTTATGCCGTGCGGGTCTATTATGTTCAGGGCTTTTATATTGTCTCTTACGGGCTGGGGATCTATCTGCTGAATCTGCTAATTGGGTTTTTGTCGCCATTGGTTGATCCGGAGTTGGAACCTTCAGACGGGCCTTTGCTGCCTACAAAGGGTTCTGACGAGTTTAAGCCGTTCATTCGTCGACTTCCTGAGTTTAAGTTCTGGTAAACTAAAAATCTTTTTCCCTGGTATTATTTAGCTGATATTACTAGACTTTTGCGCTGCAATGATGATTGATCTTCTCCTTGTATTCTTTGAGGCTCTATGGCTTGTTGGATCTGTTAACTTTCATTTTTACGAGTTGTTTTTTGTTATCCTTTGCTGCTGATGCTTTACTGTGGAAATATCTGTCACTGCGAATAAGAGTGTGTAAGCGGTGATGGGAGTAAAAGGCAATAAGTATAGCACTATAATTAATATGCTATACTTTGGGATCTTTAAAAAATGGGCTTATTACATTGACCCCCCCTGTGTTTTGTTAAAATAACAGAGACACCCATGTGTCTGAAACTAATCACGTCAACAACCCTAGACTTTTTAAAAAAATTACACGGACACCTCCTCCGTTAGTTGAGTTACATTGACCCCCCCTGTGTTTTGTTAAAATAACAGAGACACCCATGTGACCGAAACTAATCACGTCAACAACCCTAGACTTTTTAAAAAAATTACACGGACACCTCCTCCGTTAGTTGACCGTGAGTTGACTGTCAATTTTGACTGTTAAATTTTTTAAAATGCCAAAAAACGCCCCTCTTTTTACCATAAATGTTTCTAAGTTATACATTATAGTGGAAAAGACGTTTATACCCTTATTTAGCATAAAAAATGAGTTTAGTTAATTTTTACACATTTATAACTATAATTTTCACTCTAATAAAAACAAGTATTTTTTTGATTTTTTTCTTCTAAAAATCCTTTGTTTTAGTAATGTTCTCCATCCGCTAAACTAGCGTATTAAATTAAAAACCATTTAATATTTGGTGTATTATTAGGACTAACTATATTATAATGAAAATTAATTTAATTGAAAGAATAAATTAAATTGGACAATTTTATCCTAATGATGAAACAAAAATGGTTTAAATTAAACTTAAAACATTAATTACAAAAAAAATATAATACAAAAAAATTAAACGCATTAACTTTTTTAACATATTTTTACGTTAACTCTTTAAAAAATATTACAACACATCCTGACACAATTTTTTATTAAAAAAATCAAATAAAAAAGAAAGAGAGCAAATTTAGCACAGGGGTAGTTTTGACATTTCTCACTAAAATTTTACAGAGTTTCAGTCAGGAGGTGTTGCTAGTTGCTGTTATGAAATTCGGTTAAGGGGGTATCACTGTAATTTTAATAAAACACAAGGGGTGTCACTGTAATAAGCCCTTAAAAAATATCAGAATGACAGTGAATGGTTTGGATAATGTTACTATCCAATTTGGCTTTCCAAATTGCTCATCAATGTTTAGAAGATCGGATTACGGGTCACAGATCGGATTACGGGTCACTATTTCCATCTATTCCTGCTATATTTCAGTGTTAGAAGCCAGATCTTAGCCTTCACACGTTGTGCTGATTGGTTTTGGCAGCTTTTCTTTCTCGGTAGATTGCTTATTTTAAGTAGACGGCTGTATGAATTTTCTCTCTCTTCTTTTTCCATTCGTAACTGAGCTTATGGTATTTTCCAGAACATGCCTATTAAGTATTAGTTTCTTGCTTTTCATTTTGAGTTTGTAATTTGAAATTTTCCAGTGCCCAATCACCAGTTACAACTCTTCTATAAAGTCCCTGTGAAAACGTACTTCTATGTTTTTATGCATCTAGATGCCCGAGTCAATATTAAAAAGACGTAGGTGGTATTTTCAGGATTGCCAATTTCTGAAAAGACGTAGCTTGCCTTTCAGATTTGTTTTCAGGATCTGCCAATTTCTAGGATGCTAGTTGTGTCCTGTAGGCAACAGATTCTTTACAATGAGTCTCTGTCTTAGGTATTCTAAGAAGTGATTATTATTATTATTATTATTACTACTACTACTGCTATTATTTTTATTTTTATTTTTGTACTACTATTATTTTTATTTTTGCTCTGAAGAAGTGCTAGTTATTTAGATGATGAGGATCATTGTAGTCAAGCTAATATCTGAAGGTACTCTAATCAGTTTTCACCCAAGGATGAACTACTATCCCAAGATTATCTTGGAGTTAACATAAATTATATGTTCCTAGGTGGTATTGCTTTTCACACGTGAATGCCAGATATGCTTAAGACTACTAAAATTGCTCAGCTAATGAAAATGAGGTGTATTACCTGATCGGGACTCTTACGAGATGCATCTTCTCTTGTTTTATTGAGGCGAGCCCGGATGCTTGATAAGTGAATAGGGGTGAGATTAGCTAATGAATTGGTTTTTGAGTTGACGTTTTGACTGGTGGTAAAAATTGGGTTCTGTAGGCCCTATTGCCTTGTTGTTTTGTACCTTTTCTTTTTCAGTGTTGGAGCTGTTATGTTAGGGTAATGTTTATTTCTCAGGACGATTTCGTTGCTGTGACCCATGGATCTTTCTGGGGGCCCTGTTATTTCCTTGAGTTTTATCTTTTGGCGTTTTATTCAGTTGGTTGGATGTAATAAAGCGATATGGGGATGAGCGCCTTTCGAACAATAGGAACCATTTCTTGTACTTTTGCCTGTTCCTTTCACGAGTATCCTGAAGATGATATTTTCATTTTGTTGCATTATTCCAGGTACTCCTTCACAAAGGCTTTCTGCATAGCATTTGTCATGACCTTCTTTTCCATGTTTGATGTTCCTGTATTCTGGCCCATCCTACTTTGTTACTGGATTGTCCTCTTTGTCCTCACAATGAGGCGCCAAATTGCACACATGATCAAGTACAAATACATTCCATTCAACATTGGGAAACAGGTGAACTTCGTATGCTTTCAAATCTTGATTATTTTTGCCTCCATTAACAGTCATTGTGTCACTCTCGCTATCCTTGATTATTTTTGCCTCCATTAACACAGTCATTGTGTCACTCTCGCTATCGCTATAGAAATCATTCCCTATGATGAAATCATTGCACATGAAAAGTGACAGTATGACCTTTTTTCAATGTATACAGAAATACGATGGCAAAAGAATGTCCTCGAGTAGCAGCAACAGCCGTGCGGACTGAACTGAAGCTTGGCAGTTTCTAGAGCACATAGAAAGTACCCAGTTGGGGGAAAAAGAAATATAGGCCCTGAGAAAATTCATGACAATAGAATTCTTTTAAAAAGGACATGCATTTATGCTATGGATTTTCATGTGCACTCACAAATTTTTAAGTTTGGTTTATGTAAGCTTTTATATTATTTATGTACACGTTAAGATTCAGTTGCAGATTTGTGATAGTTGCCGTCGGTCTGTCTGCACGATGTAGGAATATTTTGGCCCCATGGTGCGTCACTCTTTGATTTGATTAGCATTCAACAGTTACAATTGCAGAATTTTTCTTTTTTTTCAATTGAGTTGTTTCTTCCGATTTAGTAGTTCATCTCTCTCTCTCTCTCTGTTTTTATTTTTTTTTATTTTTGTACAGATTATTTATTTTACAAGAGAAGTATAAAAATCAAACTTAAACATTTTCGAGATATTTTCTATGCATTTTGAGGAGAAGAAAATGACTCGAGGAGAAGGCTAGAATAGAAGCCTTAAGGGAAACAGTTATAGGTTTAGATATGAAATTTAAATATAAAAATTAGGAACAAATTTAAATTTTAAAAAAATTTTGGGTTAAAATATAATTTATGAAAATTTTGAGGTTAAAATGTAATTTTCAAAAGTTAGAGGTCAAATTGTGATTTTTAGAAAATATAAATTTTCTTTTTGCCCATTCAAATTTTTGCAGTTATAGGTTTAGATATGATCTTATGTCGGCCCGATTTCTATTTTCAATGGTGTCTAATCCCGACCCGATTTTTATTTTCAGTGGTGTCTAATTTCGACATGAATCATTGATTCGGTACGAAATAATGCAACACTATATGCTAAAAATGAGTCTTATTCTATAATACGACATAAATCGTATTAATTTACTATCTGTATTAGTTTATACAATATAATGGTCACGTTAAATGTTGTATTATTTATTATTATAAAATACGGTGTTTTAATATGACAAAACAAACGTGTTTAAAAAGTAAAAACAAAAAAGATTAAAGACTTAGGCTGAAATTGATCTCGTTTTTATTTTTTTACGTTTTTCGAGAAAAAAAATGAAAACGTTTTCAAAACGGCATTTAACGCAATAAAAACAAAAAATGGAAATGAAAACGATTTTTTAGTTTAGTGTAAAATGAGAGAGATATGAAAAACAACTTTTAGTCATTTTTTATTTTTTGTTTTCGTTTTCTCCTCTCTCGAGCAGAGAGAAAGATATACATTAATGAGTTTTTTATATTAAAAATAATCTCTTGATAAAACTACCAAACGCATTTTTAAAAATGATATTTATCTGAGATTGAAAATGTTTTCATTTTCATTTTCATATAAAAAATAAAATCATATTTATAAGGGTACTTTTTTCTTGAAAATGTAAAGGTGTATTTTTGGCATTAATGGAATTTCAAGAACTAAGGATGTTCTTATAATTAAGTTAGGCTAAAGGAACCTGATATCTATAAGAATCAGACCTTAAAAAAAGAGATTTTTACTGTAGGACTTGGAAAAATTAGTCGGTAGGCCTCTATTTTCTAATGATCAAAGTATTCAAAATTATTTTTTAATTGTTATGTAACTTTTTTTTATTTTAATGTGATTTTGATTAAATTTACGGTGATAAATGGATGTTCTTATAATTAAGTTAGGCTAAAGGAACCTGATATCTATAAGAATCAGACCTTAAAAAAAGAGATTTTTACTGTAGGACTTGGAAAAATTAGTCGGTAGGCCTCTATTTTCTAATGATCAAAGTATTCAAAATTATTTGTTAATTGTTATGTAACTTTTTTTATTTTAATGTGATTTTAATTAATTTTACAGTGATAAATATACACTATTAATAAGACCCTGTCATATAAGAATTTTAAAAAATAATAATGTTATAAGACACCTTAACACTATCCACTAATAAAAAGTGAGTTGCGTATGCGTATGCTGTGTTCTTAAGTATTTTTCTTTAAAAAATAAAATATACACTATTAATAAGACCCTGTCATATAAGAATTTTAAAAAATAATAATGTTATAAGACACCTTAACACTATCCACTAATAAAAAATGAGTTGCGTATGTGTGTCCTTAAGTATTTTTCTTTAAAAATAAAAATAAAAATAAAAATGAGAGATGTTAGTGTAATTTTACCTTTTTAAGAGGACTGCATTAGGGTACTACAAACCCGGCCCATTTCTCTGCTAATACGGCCATAGGGGAAAAGAGCCTCCTCTCATCCCTAATTATAACCCTCTCAAAGCCCTATAAAGCTTCCATTTTTTCTTCCTTCCAATCGAGAAACCGCCATTGGAGCATGGGTAAGGTGAAGGGAAAGCATCGTTTGGACAAGTTCTACCACTTGGCCAAGGAGCACGGCTACCGCTCCAGAGCCTCATGGAAGCTCGTCCAGCTCGACGCCAAGTACGGCTTCCTCCGCTTCTCCCACGCCGTCCTCGACCTCTGCGCCGCCCCCGGCGGCTGGATGCAGGTCGCCGTCCAGCGTGTCCCCGTCGGCAGCCTCGTCGTCGGCATCGATTTGGTTCCGATCGCCCCGATCCGCGGGGCGGTCGCCGTCCAGCAGGACATCACGAAGCCTGAGTGCAAGGCCAAGGTCAAGCGGATTATGAGCGACAATGGCTGCGCCGCCTTCGACTTGATCCTCCACGACGGCTCGCCCAACGTCGGAGGCGCTTGGGCTCAGGAGGCCACCAGCCAGAACGCCCTCGTCATTGATGCCGTCAAGTTGGCTACTCAGCTCTTAGCTCCCAAAGGAACCTTCATCACCAAGGTAATTTTAGCTTTTTGTTTGTGCAATTTGTTGAATTAGGTTATCGTAATTTTTTTGTTTTGGTTATTTGGAAATGACTAATAAAAAGCTTTATTTGAAACAGAAATTTTAGAACTTTTAATTTGTAAAATGACTTCTGAACGACTTAGCGCGACTACTGTTTACACAGCTGGATCGCTCAGTGTAAAAATGGAAAATTTACGAAATTTATTGAATTAGGTTTTTGAAGTTTTTGTTTTGGTTGTTTATTGAGATGGATTGGATAATTTATTACTCTTTAATTTTGGTAGTTAAATATAAAGGAAAGTTGGGATCAACCAAGTAATTTGGCTAAGCTTGTGAGTTAAAATTTGAATGACGGGTGGGAGAAGAGTAGAATGCTGTGGCAATAGAGCTCTCCTTTGGATATTGCAAAATCTATTTACTTTCTTAGGAATTAGAGAAAATAAACCAGAAGTGGTAGCATTTTGTTATTTAGATGCATTGTATATTTGATAATTTTGAGATGTGGCTATAAGTGTAACTATCCTATCACAGTGACAGGAATGCTGAGTGCTTTTTGTTGTATTGTACCAGGTCTTCCGGTCGCAAGATTACGAGTCAGTCAAGTATTGTCTTTCAAGGGTATCATCTACTTTTTAATAAACAAAAATACATATTGATAATTTAATTATGTTGATTTCGATGGCGCAGTTTTTTGATATTGGATCTTTGCAGTTGTTTGAGAAGGTTGAGGTGCACAAGCCAGCCGCTAGTCGTTCCACATCTGCGGAGACATATCTTTTAGCTTTTAAGTACAAGGCTGCTGCAAAGATTGATCCTCGCATTCTTGATGTGAAGTATCTATTCCAGGGATCTATTGAACCTCCGAGAAAGGTAATTGTCTTTGAAAAATAACAACTTAATGATCGGTTTAGTACAATTATTTAAGCATTGTTCTTGAAATATGGATGTTTTCTTATTCTTCTATGTCCATGACATAGGTGGTGGATGTACTTAGAGGAACAAAGCAAAAAAGATTCCGCGAGGGGTAAACTTTATCTTTACATCTTATTTTATTGAATTTCTTAAATTTTTTACTGAGCCTGGTGAAAGATATGAGATGACTATCAATGTACAATTGTTGGAGTTGCGCAGTTGATAAAAGTAGGCAGGTATCGTATTTATCATTATTGTTCCTGATTAGGGTTTTATTACAGCTATGAAGATGGGGACACAACTTTGAGGAAAGTGTCAACAGCTGCAGATTTCATTTGGTCTGACAGTCCTCTTGAGATCCTTGGTTCTGTTACTTCCATAAGCTTTGATGATCCGGCTTCTTTGCCCATTAAGGATCATGCGTTGACAACAGAAGAGGTATTTTCATATTGTTTTCTTGCTTTGATTTTTTCTTGTCTCATCCAGAATTCTTTTCTACTCCGTGAGAGCTTAAGCGCTTGGATCAAATTCTATTATCTGTCAGGTTAAAATTCTATGCGATGATTTGCGTGTCTTGGGGAAACAAGATTTTAAGCACCTTTTAAAGTAAGAATGGGAATTTTTTTCGTTCTTTGTATTTAAATATCTTTTCTTGTTATTGCTGCAGTATGTTCCAACTGCATGCTTTTATCTGTTGTTGGCTTTTTTTCACTGAGAGGAGGTACCTCTTTAGTATTATCTTTTGGGAACTTCATTGAGCGGATGCGTTCCTCTGGTTAAGACACTTTCAGACTCTCTCTCTCTTGATAAATATGGTTAACATGCTCAGAAACTAATTTGCATATTGCACCTGGACATCTCAATGTACTTTTACGTTTATAGTTTCTACACTGCACCCCCCTAAGTTTTCAATTCCTGTTTTTTTTTTTTTGGATAATCGAGGTGGCGTATACACATAAGAAAGGCCTTGGCTCCCTCTGGGAAGGCTGAAGCTTCCATTAGTAAAGACGTTGAAACTGATAATAAGGAAAATGAAGAGGATAAACTACTTAATGAGATGGAAGAGCTAACACATGCTATGGAGCGCAAACAGAAACGTAAGAAAAAGCTTCTTGCAAAGAGACGAGCTAAGGTTTGGTGCCGTATATCTTTATCTTCCTCTCTTTCTTTCATGCGCATATGCACACAACACACACACTTGATGGAAATATCATTATAATACATTAATAATAGATTCAGCTAATAGTTGTTCTCTTTCTCTCTCTCTCCCTTTTTTTGGCTAAAGAGCTGATAGGGTTTTTATTAACTAATTAATTAAGTATGAATTCCTATTTGTTAAAAATATATACAGATTCCTTGTTTACAGAAGGATCTGTGAATTTTCAGTTAAGAATAACATGATTGTAGAGGCGGAATATTGTACTTGATAATTTTTCAGGGTTCTCACTATTAGTAAATTCTTGCCTCCTTTTGTGCCTAGACAACTTATTTGCCTGGCTTTTGCATTGCTTCCCAGTATTTCATATGGGATAGGTGTTGTCATCGACTCTCAACCTTGTATTATTCTGGAGACTGGAGCATTTCCTTTAGTTAATACAAAATTGTTTTCGTTATGAAGCTCTGAACTTTGCCGTTCTAGCATTGGAATTTGCTAAATGATTGGTTGCTCCTTCATAATTTGGTTGTAGGATAAGGTGCGGAAGATGCAAATAGATGCACTGGAGGACGGTTACATTGACAATGAGTTGTTTTCTCTCTCTGCCATCAAGGTATGATTTAACTTTACTGCAGTCTACGATAGTCTTTGCAATCACCTTCATAATTTGTTATTCATTGCAGAAACTTATTGGGTAAGTTGTTTTTCTCTGATCTCTTGGACAAGGTTTTGAATAATGTTTCATTTTTTTTTCCTTTTTTGTGGACATAATTACAATTCTATAATCAAACATAAGTGTTTACCCTCTCCTCACCTCCTCTTCGCTTTAAAGTTGTGATGTGCTGTGAGAATATTGGTGCAACCTCTAGAACATAAGTACCGTGTTAGTTGTTTGATGCAATGTATACATGCTAGTGTTTTAGATGTCTTTTTGAAGGGAAGTGTATTCAATGTTTGTATTTTATTTCTCACACACTCAAGGTCGTTCTTCCCTGCTAAAGGTGCATTCATGTTGAGTTTTGCTAACAATTAGAGGAACTGGGAATATACACCAACACCACATTATTTTTAGTTCTTTGTTTTTATTCTTTCTTCTCAATTTCTTTTTGGGTGTTGTATGATTTTCCTTCAGGGTAAGAAAGATCTTGTTGCGGTTGATTCGACGGAATATGATGAAGAGAATGGGGACGCAGGTGATAGTGATACTGAAGAGCCCCGTGAAGAGACCCAACAGGGATCATTGAGTGACATAGACTCTGATGAAGAGCGGAGAAGGTTGTTTCTCCTCTCCCTTGTTGAGGCTGAGCCTTATATTAATTATCACTCCATGGTGTGCCTTTGTGTTTAAATATTTTACTCTGATGCAGATATGATGACCATATGGAAGAGCTTCTAGATCAGGCTTATGAACAGTTCATGTCCAAAAAGGAGGGTATTACAAAGCAGCGGAAGCGTGCAAAACGATTGCGTTCTGAAGACATTCTTGAGGTAGGGAGCTCCTGTTTTTGTGTTGGTTTGCAGGTAAAAAAATATCATCACATGACTACATGAGTCACAAACCTCGTCAATTTGTTTAATCTATATATACATATATATACACATATTTTGGGTTGGGGACTGCAGGGTGGTGGTGGTGGTGATGATGAAATCGTCCAGCCGGACTATGATTCAGATAAAGATCATGGTGATCAGGAAGCTAATCCTCTCATGGTTCCACTTGATGACGGAGAAGGCCCAAGTCAAGAGGAGATTACAAACAAGTGGTTTAGTCAGGATATCTTTGCTGAAGCTGTGGAAGATGGAGATTTGGAGAAATCTGATAGTGAAGACGAAATGAAGGTTGACAGGCAGGAGAAGAATCTTTGTTTGCCTGAAAAGACCAAGGAAAAGTCAGAAAACCGCGCTGTGGCTGTAGTGTCCAATTGCCCTCAGAGTCAAGCTTCGAATAAAGATGATTTTGAGATTGTCCCTGCTCCGGAAACAGATTCAAGTGATGACTCATCCGATGATGATTTGGACGATGAAACAAAAGCTGAGATACTAGCTTGTGCGAAGAAAATGCTAAGGAAAAAGCAGAGGGAGCAGATGCTTGATGATGCTTATAATAAGTACATGTTTGATGACGAGGGCTTGCCCAAATGGTTTCTGGAGGAAGAAAAGAGACATCGTCAACCAATTAAGCCTATAACCAAAGAAGAGGTTGCTGCTATGAGAGCACAATTTAAAGAAATTGATGCCCGTCCCGCGAAGAAAGTGGCTGAGGCCAAGGCTCGGAAAAAGCGGATTGCCATGAAGAAGCTTGAGAAGGTTCGTAAGAAGGCAAACATGATATCAGACCAGACAGACATTTGCGATCGATCAAAGAGGAAGCAGATTGAACAACTATATAAGAAGGCAATGCCTAAAAGGCCTAAAAAGGAATATGTGGTTGCAAAGAAAGGAGTTCAAGTGAGGGTTGGCAAGGGTAAAACTCTCGTTGATCCACGGATGAAAAAGGATCTTAGAGCACAGAAATTGGCTAAGGCGGGAAAAGCCGGTTCAAAAAAGGGAAAGAATGCCAAGTTCCAGAAAGGCAAGGGGTCTGCAAAAGCTTCGGGAAAGAAGGGAAAAAAGGGTAACAAAGGAAAAAAGATGGGCATGCATGAATAAGCAGACGATCAGACAGGAAAGTTGAATTATTTGAAAGATAAACCTCCGCAGAGTTTTTAGTGTTTAGTTTTGCCTACAATTTTGGTGTTTTTCTTTTCTTTTTAATTTGTTTTTTGACGGCCGAAGGTGGGGGTCTTTCCTAGCGTTCTGTTCTTTATAAAGTTGTAACAAAACAATCCTACTTATTTAAAATATAATGGAACTTCTCCCTTACGAGTTATGTGTTCATTTTTTTTTTTTTTTTTGAATAATTTTGTAATTGAAACGGGCATATTCCTTTCTGTGTCGTATTGATTTTGGTTTTGGTTGTCTAGCTAGCTACCTCCAGATTTTGGGCCACCCATTGAACTCTGAACAATTTTTTTTTTTTTTTTCTGTGGCATAAAATTGTATAGTTGTCGCTTAGTTTAACGTTACGTACAACATTTAGAGGCTCAATAAATGGCTCTCAGTTGGGCACCAAATCACGGATCCATTCTATCCTTAGTATAGTTGCTCGGAAGCAATAAAGTCGAGAATGAAGACTTCAGCTTTGAAAGAAATTGAAGAATTCACCCTATTCAAAGCGCACACGTTCTAATAAGTCTAAAAACTATCACATTTCAAAGTTCGGCGGTTAAATCTATAAAGCACACTATGTATGTTTTAAAGTTTGGGAAGCATATTAATCCAAGTGACAAGTTAAGGAAATTTCGTGGAACTTACTCAATTTTGTCATGTGTTATTGAAATGTATTTGGTACTATGTTTTCATGAGTAAGACACGTACTCGTTATGTTTTGAGGGAGGTTTTAACATGACTTATAAAACACGGACAACAATATTAATGCCATTTGTAAAATCAAGGCAATAAACGTATCATTTCTAAAAGTTTATCTAGTAGACAATAAATAAATGAACTACCGAAAATGTCTTATTTTATATATATTAAAACTTTCAATTCTACATGTGATTTTGACAAAATATAACTACTAAAAACTAACTCTTATCAATAACGAGAAGATCCTATTAGACAGAGACCCAAAAGTTGGGTGCAATGCAGTATTATTTCAATAAACTAAGGGACGGATTTTTTATAATGCCATTACGAATTTGTCCGTGATCACGTTGTCTCGATTAGCCTAACAACCAAAACATAGTCGGACCATGTTGGCAATCACCCAAAACATCGTAAAAAAATGACGTTATAACCTCAAGGAAGACCATGAAAAGTGGAAGAAGAAAAACTCAAAGAAGCAGACATATTACACAGCTTTTTTATTTTTATTTATTTATTTATTTATTTTTTTCAGTTAGCTAAAGATTACATTACATACTCGTGTTTGCATGAATTCAGCACTTCACATTAACACAGTTCAACTGCGAAAGCAAAATACGAGAGAGAACAAAACAAACAATCTCGGGCTCAAGCAAGATATAGAATACGGAGAGCCTAAAGCCACACTAACATATTTTTCACACAAGCCTGAGAATGATCAGCCTATTTATTTATTTACTTCTCAAGGTTGGTGCATATCTTCTCAAACAATAAACAAGCAACAACAAGAGGACTCCCGAATCTCTCAGACGAATTGATTGAGGTACTCATCCACGGTTGTGTACTTGACATCGGGATAGAGCTGCGAAGCTTCCACTCCGAACGAGGGATCGATCTCGAAGTTTGTATGATCTCCCTTCACAAAAACAGAGTGATTGATAATATCACGTTCAGTGGAATCGGCGCCTCTGCAACAAAAAACAAAAAAAAAAAGGATGGAAGACTCATCAGAATGAACTTCCTATGCTCTAAAAGTCTGGAAAAAGAGCAAAATGCTATTCAACACAAACTCGGAAACCTCACAAACCTTGAATATTCTTGAGAACTTGTTCCTCCGAAAGGTGCTCCTTTACAAGGGTTTTGCCAATCTTCTTCTCCCACAAAGACACAAGCTCGTTAAATGAGATGATGTTGGCCGGTGGCCTAATATAGAGGGTCTTGTTCAAGGTCCTCGGGTCGTCCGCTGCCCTAATTGTGTACGTTCCAATGTCCTCTTCCTTGTTGAAAATTGCTATACAAGAACACAAAAACAAAATGAAACCAATTAAGGCTTAGTTTTAAGAGAGGTAACAGAAACTTTGCAGTTTGCCCTCTTACCATAGAATTCTCCCCTAACTTTTCAGTTAATAATTTTGGTAGCTTAACTAAAATTATGCCTGTGGTACGTAAACAAGCGAAAATGTAGAGGCTAAGAATTTTTTTGGCCAATTGTGAGATAGGTAAAAAGGTTCCTTACTAGGAGTACGCATTTCAAATTTTACTAAACTTTAATTGAATAATTATTTTTAATAGAACTTTACGCAGGGCATATAATAATACTTTACCGATAGGCTAAACCGCTAGATTTGTATCACATTCTGTCAAGAAGACTCCGGTACATCTTACTTAGGGATGTGCATACTTCCCATTTTTCAGCCATCAGATGATAAAAGAAACAATCCCAGCTGTTAAACAATAAGAGATTTTTTTTTTCTTCAACTAAGACATCGCTTTTAAGAAGACTCATCAAACAACTAAAAAAAATGAGAAACATGTACATTCCAATTTTAGGATATACCATAGTCTTACTCATATTGATATCCTAACAATTACGAAACAATAAATTTTAAAACTTGGATTGAGCAAGGACTTAGTGATTTCCTCACCTTTGGGGTTTCCATCACCTAAGATGATAGCTTTATCTCTTGGAGGAGCAGTAGCTCCAGGCTGTGCCAGAGTGGGAAGAAAGTAGCCTGCAAAGAAGTTGGACGACACGTACGTGTACGGAATTCCCTCGGCCTCGATAGCTCGCCGGATGTGCGCCTTAACCGCAAACGCCGATTTTGCTGGCTCAACAGCATGCGTGCGATCCACATCGTTACCAAATTCCGAAGGGAAAAACCTCTAAGCCCAAAAAAAAAAAAAAAAAACTATTATAAACAAACACCTTTTTAGTTACAACTTTTTTAACAACAAATTGTATAACTAGTGATTTGGGAAAATGACTCTTTTTTTAGTAGGAATTAAAAAAATATATATTATAAATCTAAGGCTATTTTCTTAATAAATAACAAAGTATAAACCATATACTATAATTTCCCTTTAAGAAAGTAGTGATCTAAACATAAATAATTATAAAATAGAACGAGAATTTAGTAAATTTAGAACCATATACCATATACTATAATTATTTAGTAAATTTCTCCACTTCGTTACTATTCCTCACTAACTTACTAAAAACTAACTATAGCTCGTATAGTTTTGACGATTAAATCCTAACTAGGGTTCGTACAGTTTTCACAAATTTCTCAAAAAAAACTTAAACACAAATTGACTATCAAACGAATCAAACCGAGAATTACGAATCGTTTAATACCTTGACATTACCAGCTTCTTTGATCGCAGCGATGATCTTAACCTGATCGGGAATCTGACCGTGACCGACGGTCGAGATCACGACGTCGACCTGCTTGATCGCCTTCACCAAGCTTCCATGGTCGTACAGATCGCCATGGACGAGCTTCACGCCCAAAGACTTGAACTTGTTGACGATCTCGGCCTTGTCGGGGCTCGAGAGAGTGGATTCTCTCACCAGAGCGAAGGTCTCGTGGCCGGACTTTGCGCTCGCCTCCACTATGAACTTCCCGATGTACCCTGTTCCCCCGATGATCAGGATCTTGCTCTTTGATGAAGCCATGATTCTGGTAAATGGACGGTTGTGATGAAATCAAGCGATTGGGAGACCCGGAAGGAGAAATACCTATAATGCCGACAGCATGAGAGCTCCTTCACCATTTATAGGAACAGAACTGGTTAATGCTATTTCTTTGCGAGGTTTTTTTTTTCTCTCTCTCTCCATTTTGGATTGGCTAAAATATTGTTGGAAGGAATCGGGACACAAAGTGGTCCAGGTTCTTCTTTAAATTCTAGTCACGTGTCAAATTTCTGTGGTTGATATTGAGCTTTATAATTTTAGGGCCGTTTAGTTCGTTGATTCGAGTTTTTAATTCGAGTTGAGATGTAATTTTATATTAGAGTTTTTTACTGTAGTAAAAAAGTTAGATGTGATTGTTTGTGAGAGTTTTTTACTGTAGCAAAACTCAAATTCTAAACTCGAATCAGCGAAATGAACGGGGCCTTAGTTTCTTCCTAGGTGTAGTGACTCTTTCATGATGTAATACTAGGTTTTTTTTTCTTTTTTTTTTAAAGTATAATTATGTAAAAAAATAAATAAATAAATAAATAAAAGAATAAAAAAAGAAAAGTAGATGCTTCTAGGTGAGTTCACTGTCCGTATGGGCCTGTTCACTTCGCTGATTTGAATTTGTAGTTTGAGTTGAGATGTGATTTTATATGAGAACTTTTTACTGTAGCAAAAAATTAGATGTGATTGTTTCTGAGGACTTTTTACTATAGCAAAACTCAAATCGGTGAAGTGAACGATGCTTTATTTTATAGGTTCCAATTATTGTTAAAGTATTCCTATGAATTCTTTAAAATTTTTTAGCTTTATGTTTTTTTTTTTTTTTTATGGTCTCTTACTTTGTTAAGGTTATGTGTGTAAATATATATTTGGGATAATCCCATTGTAATCTCATTTTAGTCTTAATTTTTAAAACATCTAGGGCTGACAATTTAAGTAGCGACACGACAACACGACTCGAAACTCGCACGAAATTAGTAGATTTAGGTTTACTATAAATAAGTTTGGGTAATAATCGGGTTGACATAATTAACACGATTAATAAATGAGTTGAGTTAGGGTTGGCCGCCTAACACAAAGTGACACGAATTGGTACGATTAATTATATGTGTCATCTGTAATATAATAATATGTGATATAACATGAAAGTTTATATGACAAATTAGATAAGAATAATGTGAATTTTAATATTTGTACGTAAAATTCATTTATTTTTCTTAAAGAAAAAGATAAATTGACCAATAAATATGTTAAACCCGTATTGACCGTGTTAAATAAGTTATTATTATATTAGTTATTTATTCAATATATTAATTTAAACAGTTTATATGGGTTGACACGATTAATACGATTAATAAATAAGTCGTGTTTGGGTTGATATTTTTGACACGTTTAATAAACATGTTGTGTTTGGGTTAATATTTTTGACACGATTAATAAACGGGTTGATACGAACACGACCCACTAACACAAATTGCCACACTTAAAAACATCCCAAAATGAATCTCTAATTTATACAATTATCCAAAATTATAAGTCTTTCATCCAATCTACTTTTAAAATATTGACAAAAAAGGACACATGAGGACCATTTGATATTTAATGGAGTTTAATTTTGTATTTTATGTATTAGGGAACGATTATTAAGACGGAAACTAGGACTTTTTTCCATTGAGATTTTAACAGATGTATGGAGAAAAGGACTAGTTTGAGGCAACTTGTAGTTTGTGGACTCATTTTTAGATGTTTAAAAATTCAGAGGCCAAATAGAATTTGGTTACAGTTTGAGGACTAAATATTGGAACTAGCCCTATTTTTTTGAACTTGGTTTGTGTGATAGTATTTGTTCCCATAAAACAAATATAGGTTACTATAACTACATGGCACGAGAAAAGCGTTTCAAAGGATTTCCTGAGGTAGCGCTTGTTCAATAAGCCAAATTTGCTAAAATAAGTCTTGGATGCCTCAACTACCTGCGGTGGTGGCATAGTGACAAAGATGCATGCCTTTAGGGTCTGTTTAGTTTATTGATTTGAGTTTTTAATTTGAGTTGAGATGTGATTTTATGTGAGTTTTTTTACTGTAGTAAAAAAGTTAAATGTGATTGTTTCTGAGAGCTTTTTACTGTAACAAAACTCGAATTCTAAACCCAAATTGGTGAAATGAACGGGGCCTTAGTCTCCCTCATTCATCATTTGTTATTCAAATCTTACATCATCACAGAAGGAGTTCCGGCTATAAAAATGACAATGCTCGCTAATAGGTGAGTATAAGGGGCAGGGGTAGACAAATGAAATCTGGGTGCGTTTGGAGCAAGAATTTGTGTTATGATTCATATCATAGTTTGTAGTTCATTATAATATTTTCTCTCACAAAAAATACACGTAAATTGAGAATAATTTTGAATTATGACTCTGAATCCATAACTAAACATCCTCTGAGTTGTGAACGAGACTTGAGATGAATTAAAATTAATAGGCCAATAGTTTACATAAGTTAATAAATAGGCTAAATTACTGTTTACGTCCATAACTTGTCTAGTTATGAACTATAACTTGACAAGTTATTATCCATAATTCACGATTTTTATCCATAACTTGTCTGACTATGAACCATAACTTGACAAGTTTGTTCATAATTTATCTGACTATGAACCATAACTTGACAAGTTATGACTTATTAATTTCTATAACTAAAAGTTAACTTATATATTTTCTTAAGCTTTTTATATTGGCATATTTTCTACTATTTCTGAAATAAAAAAAAATGGGACTTTTGTCCAATAGGAAAGTGAATTGGGCCCTAACACAACAAAGAGTTGAGCCAACCTTATACCCAGCTAATGAGTGAGTGAAAACGGTTAATTTTAGTAGAATTGTGATGCAGAGCAAAAAAAAAAAAAAAAAAAAAAAAAAAAAAAACACACCGATAGAATCAGATCATGTCAGACGAAAAATATGATAATTTAATGGAGGTTGAAGAAGATGTGACCTTTAAAATTATGTGTCACGCAGATGGGGTAATTTTTTTTTTGGATTATTTATCTTTTTATACCCTATGTTTTAGATTTTCTTAAAAGTATATTTTTAAACTTTGATTGCTATAAATGTATACTATTAGAGTACATTTATTAGACAAATATGTGCCTTTTCTTAGTCAATACTTAATTTTGACGTCTGAAGTTAAAATTAACCTTAATGGTAATGATCATGGTTTTTAACTCAAGCAAATGTACACGACTAGATCACTCCATTAAGGTTAATTAATTGACTGTAAAAAATTTAAAATCAAGTGTTGACCGTAAAAAGGTACAAACTTGCCTATAAATTTAATCTTGAGGTATATATTTGCAACACTTAAAAATATGGGTATATTTTTTTAAGTAATTCTACATAAGAAGGTATAAAAGATAAATAACTCTTTTCTTTTTTCATACAAAACACCAAATGCTCCATAATTTTATTAGACCAAAATATTATTCTCAATATCACTTTTGTTTATGAACTTCTAATTAAACAACTCATGGTCGTTGAGGCTTGAACTTTTGTTAGTGGCAAAATGCTCAACTTTGTCAACTTTTGGACAAAGAATGACCCATAAGATGCATTACAAACTCAAATAAAGCTGACAAAAACAAAAAGAATGAATTTTTATGGTGGAGAATGCTATTTTATTTTATGAATAGCAACTATGAATTAGCTTTTTAACGCTTAAAATTATGCAATATTCACATTAAAAATTTACAACATGTCACGTAGATTTAATTCTATTAAAATAGCCTAGAGTCTTAAAACAAATCACGTGGAAGCATCATGGAAAAACCATGGAAAAGTGGAAGAGGAAATCCTAAGGAAATAGATACATTAGTCAATACACTTTAATTTTCTATGATTTCGATATTACAGTTCAACTGAGAGAGCAAAATGAAAGAGAGGAGAACAAGTAGTCTCGGCTCACACAAAATGAGGTTGTTGGAATTGATTAAAGAGGAGAGCGAAAATGAGCGGCTGTGATGAAATCAGGTAAACGCGCTCTCTGTCTCCTCTCTCTCTCTCTCTCTCTCTCTGTTTTACATGATTCTGTGAAATTGGACGGTTGTGATGAAATCAAGCGATCGGGAGACTTGAAATGAAAAATATCTATAATGGCGACACCATGAGAGCTCCTCCACCATTAATTTACTGGAACATGTCAAGGTTGTTGATTTGTCAAAAAGGATTTTGTAACATCGTTGATTTGTTGATATATTTTTCTCATTTCGTCCTTGTAATGTTCTAAAGTAACGTCATATTTGTTACTTCATCATTTATCTTTTTGAAAATACGATTCTATAAAAATCATTTTTTTTTATTGGCGAGAAAACATTCACTTTGCCCTTTTAATTAGCAAACTCCAGTTAGTTAGATACAACACGTTGAAGGAAAAACAAAAAAATAAAATTTTTGAAGAAAAATAAAAAAACAAAGTACCAAGTGCTTATGATCGAAAAATCAAAAACGTCAAAAGCTGAATTCGGCACATATTTTGATTGCTAATTCTACTGGTCTTGAAATTTGTCCATTTAAAAATAAAAACTTGTTTTACCAACATGTGAAGTTCGTTGGGAGGCTAACAAACTCTCTTTTACTCTTATGACCTGCATTGACGAGAAAGGGGGCTGGTCAATTTTTGTATGATTTCCAAATGCCATGATGACGTCAACGATTACGATTGTCATACACATTATTTAAGAACAAAAACCTGTCCATGTGCATCCACGATAACGAGGTAGCGTCTCCAAAATGTTCAATTTCTGTTAGATAATTGCCTTTTTTTTTTTTTTTTAATTCTGTTTGATAATTGTTGACCAAATAACGTTTAGGGCTAAAACGAGGATGGTAAAGATTAACAAGTCATCTAGTATGTGCACTCGTCCAGGTTCATTAGATTGAGAAAGAGTATTTTCCCAATAGTTCCTTCTCATGCACCTTGCTCTGCCATTTCAGAATTAAAGTCCAATCCTTTCACCTCTTGAAGTGTACGACTCCAGGTAAATAATAAAGGGTTTGATGGAAATTTGGAATTTCAGCTAAATATTTTAACAACTATGACTGTATGGATAATACAATTCTACTAAAATTGCTCAAAACATTATAACAAGTGAGTAGAGGAAAAACATTAAGGTCTCATTCGCTTCGCGGATTCGAATTTTCAATTCAAGTTGAAATGTGACATTTTCTTAAGAGCTTTTAACTGTAACAAAAAAGCTAGATGCGATATTTTTTGAGAGCTTTTAACTGTAAAAACTTAAAACTGAAAACTCGAATCGATGAAATAAACGAGGTTTAAAAGTGGAAGAAACAAACCATACGATAGATATAGTAGTAAACATACTCAAAAGTAGCATGATTTCAATACTTCAATTTTAGTACATCAAAATGAAATAGAGAAGAAAACAAGTAGTCTCGGGCTAAAACAAGAGAGAGTACTGAGAGCCTATAGCCACACTACTTTATTTCTCACACAAGCCTGGGACAATGACTTCCCTACTTATTTGTTTACTTCTTCAAGGTTGGTGCACGTCTTCTCTAAATTAAACAAGCAACACCAAGGGGACTCTAAATCATCTCTCAGACAAACTGATTGAGGTACTCATCCACGGTCGTGTACTTGACATCGGGATAGAGCTTTGAAGCTTCCACTCCGAATGAGGGCTCGATCTCGAAGTTTGTTTGATCTCCCTTCACAAAAACAGCATGACTGATTGATAATATCACATTAAGTGGAAGTGGAGCCTCTGCAACCAAAAAAAGTAAATGTAAGTTTCATATATCATTCAATGAGAAAAGACCGATCTAATAATATCTTAAAGGCAATGTTCTTCTACTAAAACTCACAAACCTTGAATGTTCTTGAGAACTTGGTCCTCCGGAATGTGCTGCTTTTCAATGGTTTTGCCAATCTTTTTCTCCCACAAAGACACAAGTTCGTTGAATGAGTAGGTGTTGTCTGCTGGCTTGATGTAGAGGGTCTTGTTCAACGTCCTTGGGTCGTCCACTGCCCTGATCGTGTACGTTCCAATGTCCTCTTCCTTGTTGAAAATTGCTATACAAGAGCAAAAAACAAGTGAAATCCTTTAAGGTATATTTTAAATTTTGAAAGATATATAACTAGCATATTTGCAGGTTCCAATGTAATTTATTTTACAGGTTTTTGGAAGTTTGCCCTCCAATTGAAGAAATCAGTGAAATTTTTTTAGTTTTACTCTATGCTAGCTAAAGTAAAGTTTAGGGTAGTGGTACTTAATTACTTAAACAAGTAAAAGGTTTGTTATTGCAGTGCGCATCTCCAAACTAGAGTTGTAAATATGAGTCGTGCCATACAGGCCAGTTAGCGGCCAGCTTTTTGGCCCGGTGTTGGTTTGGTTTGATCTGTATAAAGAAAAGATTTGGCTCAGTCGGGCTAAAATGTCCAACCTGACCCGTAATAAAGTACACGGTCCTATCGAAACCACAAATGACTTGTCCGGCTATATGGTTGGACCGGGATAGTCCGGTATGATCTTGCCCTCATAGGCCCATATTTACAACACTTGTTCCACCTATTAAATTTTCATCAAATAGCCATCTTAATAATGCTTGGTTTTCCAATACTTCAAATCTCACACCATCTCTAGGCCTTACCTACCATATAAGTCTCAAACTAGCTATACCAATGTCAACTTGTTGTTCATATGAGAACACTAGGGTGTATCTTATTTTAGGATATACATATTTCTCATTATTTAGTCATGAAGTTAAAAAAAAAAAATCATGCTTATATCAACGGTGACATTATTTTTTAGCCATAGTGCCTTACGCAATAAGTTAAATAATAATAATAATAAATAATGTACGTCCCAGTTTTGGAATATACCGTACTTTTTTTTTTTTGGTTGAAGAAATATACCATAGCTTTACACTTATATTTTAGTATTGATTCAAAATTACTTCAAATCATCGATCGAGTAATAGTAATTTCCTCACCTTTGGCGTTTCCATCACCTAAGATGACAACTTTATCTCTTGGGGGAGCAGTGGCTCCTGGCTGTGCCAGAGTGGGAAGAAAGTAGCCTGCAAACAGGTTGGACGACACATACGTGTATGGAATTCCCTCCGCCTCAATAGCTCGCCGGATTTGGACCTTCGCACCAAACACCGATTTCGCTGGCTCCACGGCATTCGATCGGTCGACATCGTTACCAAACTCCGATGGGAGAAATCTCTAAACCAAATCAATCACCATAAAACCATTTTCAATATTAGATCCACTAAGGTTGTTAATTTGAGTTTTTAATTTAAATTGAGATATAATTTTATGTACAATTTTTTTTATTTTAATAAAAATTTTAAATCTGATTATTTTTAAAAATGATTTATTATAATAAAATTTAAACTTTAAACTCAAATGAAATGTATGAAGTTTTAATATCAATAAAAAAAATAAATAAATATAGCCAAGTTTTTTGAGCTAGAAAAAAAAAGTATTTACTGATTAAAATAAATAGTAAAATCTCATATTTATTACGAAAATACCATATCTTTTTGTAAACACAAGCAGAGATCAAGTAATATTTGCGACTGTTTTCGTCAACAAAAATAAATAAATAAATAAAGTGGGAACCAGAAGTCAACGAATTATATACCTTGACGTTACCGGCTTCTTTGATGGCGGCGATGATCTTAGTCTGATCGGTGAACTGTTGGGCACCGACGGTCGAGATCACGACGTCGACCTGCTTGATCGCATTGACCAAGCTTCCATGGTCGTTCAAATCGCCATGGACGAGCTTCACACCCAAAGACTTGAACTTGTTGACGATCTCGGCCTTATCGGGGTTCGAGAGAGTGGATTCTCTCACCAGAGCGAAGGTCTCGTGGCCGGACTTTGCGCTCGCCTCCACTATGAACTTCCCGATGTACCCTGTTCCCCCGATGATCAGGATCTTGCTCTTTGATGAGGCCATGATTCTGGCAAATGGACGGTGGTGATGGGGTTGTTGGAATTGACTAAAGAAGAAAGGGAAAATTAGCTATGAGGAGAAATGGATAATCAGAGAAGAGAAGGTAATGCTAATACTACGAGGTTCCTTTACCATTTATAGGCGAAAGTAGACGGTTCCTTTTTCTCCCTCTCTATTTTCTTGACAATCTTTAGGGTGAACACTAACGTCTCGTTTGTTTAACAGATTTAAATTTTTAATTTAAATTATGATATTTTTAAAAATAAAAAAATTAAATATGATATTTTTTTAAAAAATTTTAACTATAAAAATTAAAAATTTAAATCAATAAAATAAATAAAATTTAAAAAACTCACAAGGAGAATTTCTATTTTAACCATTAAAATTAATTTTATAACAATCAATTTTGTATAAATTAATATTAAAAGTTTATAATACATTATATAAAACTGTTATAGTAACGGTAAATTTGATCACTACAAAATTAATTTAACAATTAAAAACAAGAATTTTAAGTTTTTTTTAGAATCTTACAGTGAAAAATATTTTTTTGTTTTTTTAATAAATGATAGACGTGATTTAGTGCAGGATTTTCTCTCTTTCTCTCTATTTGGATTGGCTAAATATTATATTGCAAAAGGTGCGGTTTACGGAATCTGGACAGGAACACGTCAAGGTTCATTGTTGGTCAAAAAGGATTTTTCTCATTTCGTCCCTCTGTTTTAATTAGTGTTAAAATTTTAGACGGTCCCGCGATCACTGAAAATTTTAAATTTTTACTCGATGACTGAGCCCGCCTGAACTTGAATTTTTGAGCTGCCTGACCCAACCCGAGCAGGACCCTAGATGGGCTTCGGACAAGTTTTGGCTGCCTGAGCCAAGTCGGGCAGCTCGAGACCGCCCGAGATGCCCGAAGTATTTTTTTAATATTTATATACTATTATATATAATTTTATTTATTAATTATATATAGTATGTATATAAGTAATTTTTAAGTTATTTATTGTAAAAATTATAAGGGAGATTGCAATTTGAAATTAATACGAACTATATAAAAAATTATTTATTTATTAATTTTTAAATTTGTAATTCATGATTGGCTCGTTAAAAACCTTAAAAAAAACCCCAATTGGGATAAAAACTTAGTAAGGAAAAAAAAGTGCAATCATTCTTGGACGAATTACAAATTTAACGAACTTATAAAGTCTATACAAGATTACAATAACACTGTACAAAGTAAATAAATATTTGCAAATTACAATAATAAAATTTAATTTGAAGCTAAATGATCGTCTTCAAAATTAAAAGTTAATATATTAAATTCATCGATCCATTCTTAGCTTGCCGGCGAAATTGTATCATGTAAACGTTGGTCGGAACGATCCCAATCTTTAATGCACACCAAAGCTTCAACAATGTCCTATTGCAATGCGTTTCTACGTTCCTCAAGTATTCGGCCGGTCGTATTGAAAGCTTGTTCGAATGAAACAATGGAGATTGGGATAAAAAAAATATCCATTGTCATTCAAGTTAGGATTGGCCAAGTTAATGCTCGTACCCTCCACCACTGAACCAAATCAAACATTTCATTATTGTCGACTACTAAGCCCTCACTCAGGTACGCCATTAACTCGTTGAAGCCGCCGTTGTTGTTGCCACCACTTGATGAAGATCCACTCCCAGATTCTTCTTGACCTTGAGTCGTCGTCGTCGTCTTCTTCTTCTTCTTCAACCCAAAAACATTCAAGAATGAATGAAGATTGTCGTCTCGTTGTTGCGGTTGTTCTTCACGAGGTGTGTTTCTAAACCTACTTTCATAAGAGCTATAGAGAGATAATATTTTTTCCTTTGTAATAGGAAATTAGTCAGAACTGTCGATATCTAAAATGTCACCTAATTTTTCTAATCCACTTTATAAACCTTCTAATTTTAATCTAGGATAAAAAATAACACCGAAACCATACAACATTGGTAATTTAGCCCAATATTTTTTAAACTTCTTTTCCATAGAAGCGATATGAACTCCTAAAACCTCGTGTGTCCTAAATTCACTAAATAAAATAGCCATTCTCAAAAGTTCTAACGTTAATGGTGACGTTGGGTAATATGTTCCACTAAGCTTTAAAGTAATTGCGCGAAATCTACCTTAAAAATTATACAAAAGTTATGCAATTTACTAATAAGTTTGGTCTATAAATCCTGATCTTAATTTTACACTAACATAGTTTGTTATAGCATCTTTATAAGGGATGCATTGTTCAAGCATTATATAAGTGGAGTTTCATCTTACGGGTATATCTAAGGTTAATGCTATAGGATTTTGATTACATGCTTGTAGAAACATAAACCAATCTTGTATTCTTTGATTACTATCTTGAATCCATGCAATGTTATCTCTAATTCTTTTAATATGACCTGACATTTATTTTAATCTAGATTTTATTATTAAATTAATTATATGGTATGCACAACGTTGGTGAAATATATAATTATTACCGAATAAACTTAAATCCTTTTCAAAAAGTTCTATTGCTTTAGTATTTGCAGTGGCATTATCTAATATTATAACCATTACTCTATCCCTTAAACTATATTCATCAATGACAGATAAAATTGTATTATGTATTAAATCGGCAGTATGTGATCCCAGAACACATTTAAAACCTAATATTCTCTTATCTAAATCAAAACCTTTAAAATAATGTCCGGTTACAGCTAAATAATCTTTGTTGGCAACGACGGACCAAATATCCGCCGTTAACACAACGCAACCACTAGTAGAGTGTAGAAGGTTGATTAATGATTCGCTTTCTTATTTATATAATTTTAATGCATCTTTCCTAAGAGTAGTTCTTGAAAAAAATTGTGCATTAGGATTATGTACAATTTTAATATAACGTTGCCAATTCCTTTGCTCGGTAAAACTAAGTGGCTGATCTAATGTGGCTACTAGTCGTGCCATTTTCATACGATTGACTTGTGGATCGTATTTCCAAGTGCTTAGACCGCCGGTTTGGTAGTTAAATGATAATTGTGTTTGGCGAAGATCGGGTCCGTCTCCTTGCTTTTGAAGACACTTTTTGGAGTGTCTTCTCAAGTGTGTTGTGCCATGAATAGTGTTACCTTGTAATTTATCACCACAATATTTGCATTAAGCAATGTATTTAATGTTACCGTCATTGTCGGCCCCATTGAATGCGTTTAAGAAGGTAAGTACTCCCAACATCGCGATAAGAAGGTAAGTATTTGTTAATAATTTATTCCATATAAATTTTAATTTGATAATTGATTACACTATATTTATATACATTTAAACTACTATACAGTCTACCATAGAGACTCAATAGCCGATGTCCGTCATTGACAACTGGGGAGACATGCATCGTCGTGGGATACTTGGGTTAATCCCCAAGCTGAGCAGACTTTTGTAAGTATACTTGTAATGTTTAATTATATTTTTTTATTTAAATTGAATTATGTATTTAATTATTTTTCTTATAATATTTATAGCATCGGATGGACGGAGAAAGAGAAACGCAGATCTAGACGCAGTTTGCTACTTCTGAATCCTCCGTGGCAGGAACAGTTAACGAGGAGGATATTATGGAGCAGTTTCTGGGCACCCGCAGAGGACACAAGATTGGAGTGGGTCGCACACTCTCACAAAAAGTGTATCGAGGGGATGCGTTATCATCTGGCTCACGCTCGGTAAGATCTTCTACGTCACATTCTGACCCACACGTAGAAGAATACTTACAACGGACTTACCAGTAAAACCTCAAGCTGTACGAGAACGTCAGAATGATGCAGGATTTCATCACTCAAATGCACCCTAACATGACTTTCCCAGCGGATACTCCTCCTGAGCCGTATGTCCGTCCACCTCATCCGCCTCCGAATCCTTCTGATGATAACAACGATAATTCTAGTGATGCTGCTAATTTAGGAGATTAGAGTATTATTAATATATCAATTTATACTTTCACAAATTTCTACTATAATTACATTTTTATTTTATTAATTACTTTTTACCATAATAATTTTTATTTATTTATTTCATTTTATTTAATTTTTATTTATATTTAATATCATGAATTATATTTATTATAATTATTAAAATCAGAAAAAATAAATAAAAAATTAAAATATTATTTGCAACGACAAATGTGGTCGCAAACAATGTATGCCACGTCAACTACCACTGCATCTTTTGCGACGACTTAATTCAAAAAATGTCGTCACAAATACTTAATGCCATGTCATCTAACGATGTACCCGACGAAATAATTATAGCAACTCATTTGCGACGATTGTCGTCGCAAATATAATTGTGATGACTCATTGTCGTCGCAAAAATTATTTTTACGACGAAACAGTTGTAGCAACAGGTTTGCGACGACAAGTGGTTGCGAAAAATGTATTTGCAATGACTTTGTATTTTTTACAACAACTTTTTATCGTCACTAATAACCTTGTTTCTTGTAGTGAAAACAATGAGAGGCTTTTCGGTGAGTGAGAAACTGTTCGAAGATGGGGGTTTGGGTGTCCTTTTCCTCCATTTTTTTGGCCCTTTTTGGCGCTATGACATATATTAGATAACGTAAATTACTTATTTTCCCTTCAAATTAGAGTCACATGCCACTGACGTCATATTTAACGTGATAATTTCAACAGTGGGTATGCGTGCTAACGGTCAATTGTTCAGGGAGAAAAATTAAAATTTTTAAAGTTAAGGGGGCATTTCGTTACAAACGCAGTATTTCAGAGGGCAACAGTGTAATTTGTCCAAATTTTTATTAAATATTATTCTAAAAATTATTTGTAATTTATTAATCAATGTTTACATAATGTGATATTAATTCATGTCATTTAATTAACGCAAGACATAAGCCACCGGTAATAAATTTCAAAAATATAGGCTTTTTTTTTTATTTAAATACTAAACAACCTTTCATGATGTTTCATGCGGAATATGTCATCATATGTGGCACATTTAACGCACATGGTTCATGCTATGAAATATGCTTTCCGTAGGCCCTTATGGCATTTCATACATGCATTGGTCGAAAATTAAGAACCATTGTCAAAATCAGACACATACAACTCTCTATTTCACAACGCTTAATAAAAATCGTAAAATCTTTTAACAACAACGTTTTTAAACATCGTCCTGTCTACATTATGAATAAACTATT